TTCTGCTATATAATGGTGATATAAAGAGAAAAAAAAGAACAGTCTCTCCATGTAGGGAACTTACATTGTTTTAGAGACTGCATATGTATAAACAAAGGTGTACAAAACAAATGCAAAGATAAATTTGGGGTGGGGGAGAGATTTCTAGGAGGTGAGGCATCAAGAAGGGTTTTATAGAGAAAGTTGTCACTTGAACAGAGTTTTGAAGGAAACACAGGATTCCAGAAGGCACAGGAAAGGGGAGAGTTCATTTCGGTCATAAGAGACAGCTGGTTCAAAGGCATATAGAGGTTGGAGATACAGTATCATGTGTATGCAACAGCAAGAAGGTCAGTTTGTCTGGACCATGGAGTACAGGAAAAGCATTAATGTGTAATAAGATTGGAAAGATAGAGTGAATTCAGATTGTAAAGAAATTTAAAGCTACACAGAAGAGCATCTGTTTTATCCTGTAGGTTATACAGAGTCAGTGGAGTTTATTGACCAGGGAAGTGACATGGTCACACATGTGTGCTTTAGGAAGATTACTTGGGCAGCTATGGGTAGGATGATGGATCAGCAAAGGGAAAGACCTGAGCTAGGAATATCATTTAAGAGTATACTACAGTGCTGTAAGAAATGACAAGCAGGATGATTTCAGAAAAACCTGGAAAGCTTTACACGAACTAATGTATAGTGAAGTGAACAGAACCAAGAGAATAATATACACAGTAATAGCAATGTTGTCTGATGAAGAACTGTGAATGACTTAGTTATTCTCAGCAATACAAAGATCCAAGAAAATCCCAAAAGACTAATGATGGAGCATACTATCCACCTCCAGAGAAAGAACTAATATTAATTGAACATAGACTGAAGCATGCTATTTTTCACTTTCTTTATTTAATTTTTTTCTTTTATTAAAGTCTTCTTGTACAAAATGACTAACATGGAAATGTTTTACATAATTGCACATGTACAGCCTATTTGCTTACCGTCTCCAGGAGGAGGGAAGTAAAGGATAGAATCTGGAACTTGAAACATTAAAAATTTTTTTAAGTATACTGCAGTAGTCCAAATGAGAGGTGATATTATGGAGGGATACATAGGATGAGGGAGAATGAAGAGTGAAGGAGAACCCAGAGGTTATCAGCATCTGTGGACTTGATGGATGATGGTGCCCTTGACAGAAGTAGGAAGTTTGGAGGAAAATGAGTTTCATCAGATGTATGATAAATAACTTTGTTCAGAGTCATGAAGGATTCAGTACAGTGAACACTAAATAACAACATTAAAGAACTGATTATATTTTTCTTACAGGAAATTCTCTCGGTATGAATACAGGACTCATTTCTGAATCAACTTGCAACTCATCTTATTAACAAAAAGACAATACCAAATTGGAAAAGTAAAAATGAAAATGTGTGTCGTCCTCTATCCGAATCAATTTAAAACAGAAGTTAATGCTTTTAAAAGCTGGGAAATGGGTAATAGAACAGACTGTCAGGAAGTTAACTGATGTAAATCATTTGTCACCGTGAGAGACCTAAAGATCGTAGAAACTCTTCTAACTAGGAAACAGTTGATTTCTATGCCAGGGCAATAAGAAGGTAGCAAGACGGATGTAGGCTATAAACTCATTCATAGAAATTTACAGAGAAGGTTGGTGGAGAATGATGAGCACTATCATCTCCAAAAACAATGAGAAGTTTTGGAGGGGAAAAAAGGTTTACAGAAAAGCTGATGAGAAATTCAATTCAAGTCAACAACACGTATTAAATGCCTACTGTCGGAACATTCCAAAGGAGGGGAGGTAGTCTCAGGTTTATTACTATTGAAAAGAGAGGAACGAATCAATGATAACCAACTCCATCTCTACCAAATATAAAATAATCAAAATATCTGAAATAATTAAAATAATCATATTAAGGATGTTTTTAATAAAGGGATGAGAAAAGGACAGCTAAGATTTCCCAAGTGATACTCTACCACTTCTGCATATTTACATCATTATATATCATCCATTTGTCATCCACATATTTACAGTTAACATAATTCAGTCATAGGTGCAGAGAACACAATTCCACTGTTCTTGTTCACTCTGAAAATTATCATTTGATAAAGTAAAACAAAATGTTTCTTTGGAAACTTCCTTCCAACAAGATGATGTTTCTCTTGCGTGTTTTAAAATTGTTTTGTTTGGTGACCCTCTAATGACAAACCAAGGCATAAATTAGGAGATAGATAAATATGCTTATCAAAGATGTTTTCCAAGGTTGTCCAAAGAGATGCTGTTCAGTCATTTTCATTTGTGTCTGACTCTCAGTGACTCCTTTTGAGGTTTTCTTGGCAGAGATACTGGGTGGTTTGTCATTTTCTTCTCTAGTTCATTTTATAGATTAGGAAACAGAAGCAAACAGGGTTAAATTATTTGCTCAGGGTTACATAACTAGTAAATGTCTGAGGTCACATTTGAACTCGAGAAGATGAGTCTAACTGACTTCAGATCTGGCACTCTGTCCACTATGCCACCTAGCTACCAAATAGATGAGGAATTTCTTATAGATAGTGATATTATACAGATATTCTTATTTATAGATGACATTATGCTGCAAGCCCTAGCACTTACCAAATAAGCCTCCAAAATCATATCCATAATCAAAATTTTGTCTTTACTCTTAACGCTGGAAAAATCAAGTGTGTGAAGAATACCTGTTTTCCAGACTGTAATATATATGCATTTAGAAGAACAGCCTATCGAGCTGGTTCATTTGTGTGTATATCTTGGACTGCATTTAGATAGTGATCTAGGCCCAGAATCAAATAGATAGAACATGACAGAAGAGTCAGTATAACTTAGTGGGAAAAGCTTTGGATTTACAGTCAAAGGATTTTAGTTCACATTTCAGTTCTATTGTTTACTATCACTTTGTTGCATCTCTTCCCTCAAAAAGGAGTGGTATTGAAGCATTTTTTTAAATGCAAAAGAAAAAAGAAAGAAGCCTGAAGTTACTTGTGCAATTATATGTTTTAAAAGGAAAATCCAATATTTCTAAAAATATTCATTTTATTTGGTATTTAAGTTCAGAATAAAAAAAAATTTTTAAAGGAGGGAATTGGACTACATAACCACTAAGATCCCTTTTAGCTCTAATACATGTTTCTGTAGGTTACTTTTGGCAAATTGTACAATGCTTTTAATGACCTCACTCTTTCCCTTCCAAAAAAGACCTATCTTTTTTGAACACCAATATTCTTTTGGATGTGCAGTATGGCTGCAAATCTTAGAATACTGCGGTCTCTGAAGATTTAAAATCATAGGTCATCCAGAGGCCAGTGGGGAGATGCATATTGAGTGCAACTATCAGTGGTTAACAATGAATTATGCAGCAGAAAGATCTTTAAAGATAATATCAAAAAACTGTAAGGTCAGAAATGGAGATGGCTTTATCGTGGAGCAAGTCTAAGATTAACTAGTGGGCAGCACATATGTTCCATTGATACCTACTTAATGACATGAGACTTGAAGGAATGTTCCCATCACATTAGGTGGACCCCTTTGGTGGATTTACATGAGGATGTCAATAAGATTGTGGGTGGCTGGCATTCTGTGCCACTGGAAGAAGTGTCTGCACTACAGAGATCACATATCTAGCATAGAGATCAGTGAAGGCTGAAATAGTGTGGGCAGCTTCGTGGAGGAAGTGAATCTTGATTTGAATTCATATCCCTTGGTTACTGAGTGAATAAGTAATTTGTCTGCTCAAAAGAATACCATTGATCATAATGACCCTGGCAAATCGAATACTCTAAAGTATTTTTTTTTCACCCCTTGGAAGGGGCAGGTGAGGAAGCAGCATTGATCTCAACTTTATTTTCATTGTCCTTCAACATATCAGTGGTCTCAAAGTTAACTCCCGTAGTCACAGTCATTCTGTCCTGAGAGGGAAAAGTAGCCTGTTGGAACAAATCTTGAAACAAAATCCTAGTCTTACACAAATGTATTTCATTTTTAAAGTAATAAGGAACAAATGCTAGAAATTAATGGGTTTAAGATCGCTAGAATTTTTCCTTTAAGTTTTAAAATCTAAGCCTGTTTAAAATTTGACTCTTTGTATTCCTTAATAGTAATGTACAGTACGCAAATGTTTGTAATTTATGTGAACTACCCAGGCAGTATGTTTTGTATGCCAGTATCAGTGTGAATAGATAAATCTCTCTATATGCTTGTATAACTGCATATAATTACATACCATAAATAATGGTCAGCATTATGAGTGGTCTAGTAGAAGGAATAGGGAATAGTAGAGTAGGAGTAAGGATCTATGTTTGGGTCCTGGCTCTGCTCTGACTTGGTTGTATTCACTGTGGGCAGCTTACCACCTCAGCTTTCTCAGTCTCAGTTTCCTCATCTGTACAAAGAGGAAGTTGGGCTAGATCAGAGCTTTGGGGGGGAGGGGAGGGCAATTGGGGTTAAGTGACTTGCCCAGGGTCACACAGCTAGTAGGTGTCAGGTGTTTGGTCTGAGTCTGAATTTGAACTCAGGTCCTCCTGACTTCAGGGCTGGTGCTTTATCCACTGTGCCACCTAGCTGCCTCTAGATCAGAGCTTTTTAAACTGGGTTCTGTGAACTTCAAAAAATATATATTTTGATAACTTATTTCAATACGGTTGTTTTCCTTTGTAGTCCTGTATGCTTTATTTTATGTATTTAAAAATATTATTTTGAGATGTTATCCAGTAGCTTCACCAGACTGCCAAAGGGATGAATGTGATGCAAAAAGTGATTAAAACACATCAACTAGATATGCTCTAAGTATCCTGTTAAAAAGATGATCCTATTAAATTAGCCTTGTGAAATGTATTTACCTTAGAATTTAGTTTTATAGAGCACTGTTTTATAGTGTCTAGAAAGTTTTCCCTAATATTATGTCTGTTGCGTGTGGAATGACCCTAGAGATAAATGGAATATTAATTAGGATATGCAATTAGATAATGATTAATTATTTTAATTTTTGTAGGCTTTACCACCAGCACCTGTTCAGAATCATACAAATAAGCATCAGGTATTCAATGCATCTCTTCAAGACCATATTTATCCAAGCTGTTTTGGGAGTACTCCAGACTGGAATAGTTCTAAATTCATAAGTCTTTGGGGATCAGAAATGATGAATGATAAGAACTGGAATCCTGCCACTTTTTTGCCAGACACAATTTCTGGTAAGGATTGTTTCTTGTTGAATTTCCTGAAATTTTAAACTCAGTGAATGAGTCGATTAATTTAGAATGTATGGATTTACTTTTACAACTAAAATCTCTTAATATTCAAGGTTTGAGCTCTGTACTGTATTTATTATGCTGTTAATATAAATGAGATTATTACTTGATGTTAGAGGTAGATTTCAAATATTGGTTATTAATGAAAGTCTGTCAGGCTTGGGACAAATTATGCTGCCAATCCTTGTGTAAACCAGTTTTTTTGACCACTGAGTGCGTTGGTCATACTAATTCTCTGTCTCATGTGTGGCAGGTTGACCCTGTCTAAATCTAAAGAGTTCCATTCATTATGTTGAAGGCCTGATTTATAATACGTAAGAATGACACAAAGAGGCAGCTAGGTGGTGCAGTAGATAGAGCACTGGCCCTGGATTCAGGAGGACCTTAGTTCAAATGCGGCCTCAGACACATAACAGTTACTAGCTGTGTGACCCTGGGCAAGTCACTTAACCCCATTGCCTGACCCCCCCCCAAAAAAAAAAAAAGAATGACACAAACCTTGCTAGCATGAATATCTTATAATAGCTACTATATCCGTCATCTTTCTTTGGTGATGTACATGCAACCTTAGGATGAGACCATATGTATTACCAGTTTGGACTTCAATCCATTAAGTTCTTTACCTTTTGGGCCTTTGTTTTGAATATATGTTAACCTCACAAAAACTAATGTTAGGATCCTTAGTCAGGTCTTCTGTCTTTGTTAGTTTCTTTATTAATTGTGTCTCTAATTCCCTTCTCTTTCCCTTAATCTTCAAAATTAGCCCACCTTCCTATTCTTTTCCTTCTAATACTTTTAACCAGTTAAGCTGTATTTAATATGAATTTGCTAGAAAGAACAAATAGATCAAAATAGTATGTTTAGCAAATCCTTTTATTGGAAGAAGTTTAAATTTTGAATCTATTGCCCATCATTAAGGAACTTTTTAAATTTTAGCTCTTCATCAATAGTTTTGTTACTCTTGGGTAATTGGTTTACTCAACCTAAATATAATTGTATCCATAGTACAGTAAAACAATAACTGATCTGAATATATTGACTTCTGCTTTTAACTGACATTCTCTTTACTGTTACCAAGATACATTTTTTTGTACCTCCATATGTCTGTGAAAACTGACTGCTTATTGCCTTTCCAACTGTTTGTGGTCCCAAACTTTGGGACTTGATGTAAGTGCAGCGACAGGACTTAACCCTACCACTTATTTCTTTTTCCTGCGTCTCAGATGCCTTGAACTATGAGAAAACCTCATATGTTTCTCCAGTGACTTTTGAGCAAAGAAATAGCACAGTTTCAGATTCCAACAGCCAAATATTTCATTTTCATTCACAATGGAGAAGGCCATTGGTTGAGTAGTTTAGGTTGTAGAGGAGATAAATTTAAGACTTGCAGTTTACTGATATCAGTCATCCCCAGGCCAGGAAAACCTAATGTTACAGCTACATGCAAACAGTGAGGTATTTAGTTGGCAGTCTGTTCTTTAAACTTTTACTAAGAATGACTCTTAGTTTTTTACCTTTTCTTTAAAGGTAGTGATATAATAGGACCAACACTTTCAGAAATAAGACCTGAAGCACTTCCTACCACGTCTGGCAGTGAAACAACTACAGTTACTGATAGTAAAGAGAAAAAAAATGCTGCAAAAAAGAAATGTCTCTACAATTTCCAAGATGCTTTTATGGAAGCTAATAAAGTTGTTATGGCAACATCTTCAGCTACTTCCTCTGTTTCATGCACTGCCACCACAGTACAGTCTAGCAGCAACCAATTTAAAGTATCCTCCAAGAGACCTTCATCAATAGGTAAGCACACATAGCCTCCTAAACCATTAATAGTTGTTTTTTATTTAGAAACACCAAAGTTTTAAACCCATTTGAAGTCACTCAGCTTGCTTATCATATAAGGTACAGTACATTATAGTCACCTCCTTAAGTTATAGGGTTCCTGCTACAATGTTGGATTCCTGTTTAACTTTAAGCCTGTCCCTTTAATATCTTTTGTCTTAAATCTTTATGTGCTGCTTAGGAATTAAACCTTCTGTTCTGTAGTAGTAAGAATGAATTGCTTACAGAGTACATTTGCAGAAATATGTAGTATTACAATAATTACTATTGACGTAATCTTTAGGCATCTGTCACAGATCTTTTGAGCTCTTTTGAAATAAAGGAGAAACATCAAATTTTTACTAAAGAAGCCTAATTCAGATTGGTGTTTAGCTAGTATAGTAGCATGAGTGTGAACAATTACATTATCTGTAGTTTGAGTCACTAATAGATAAAGTGTCAATATAACATTAAAGAAAATATTTTGAATGTGAGGGTTAAAATGTACCTGGCCAAAGAAACTGTAACTTAAAAAGAACTGCTTTGATCTCTTTACGTTTTAGGTGAAGTGTTTCACAATATCAGTAAAGAGGATCATAGACATTCTGCACCAGTTGCACCAAGAAATAGCCCTACTGGTTTAGCCTCTCTTCCTTCTCTTTCTCCTGCTGCACTTTCACCAGCCTCCACACCCCATCTTGCAAATCTCACAGCCCCATCCTTTCCAAAAACTGCTGCCACAGCTCCTGGATTTGTAGATCCACATTCAGGGCTTTGTCCCACCACTTTAGCACCACCGACATCTACTACAGACAGCTCAATTAGTGCTCCGCCAAGTATATGCAGGTGAGTCCTCACACTTGAATTTCATAAATCAACAGTTGTGACTGCTACTTATTTTTTTTGAAGTTGAGTTTTGACTAATTAACTTTTGTGATATAGAAGAATTGAATTCCCTCCTCAGTGAACAACTTAAAACCAGTGGGGTATAAAGAAATACTTGTAGAATACTTCAACATGATAGATAGTCTACTTTGTTTTCATGGTTGTGATGACAGGAGCCTCCAGTGTAAGATTATATTCACAGAATCACCAATGGACCTCAGGGGACTGCTAGTTCAGAAGTTCTCTGAATGTGATTAGTTGGAATTACCCAAGTTTATATAGCCACTTTAAGATTCCCTAGTATTCTAAATTTTCTGTCATCATTTTTTTTAATGTTCAGTATTACTAGTGGAAGCACTATAATAAGAAATGTGGGTGCTTTTGCTTTTAATGTGACCTAACTCTGAGGTGCTGGCTTGTATGTCTCTGGTGTATTAATGGGAGGTGGTGGTGTTTTTTTAAACTGTACAGTGACCCTGATTGTGAAGGGCATCGCTGTGAAAACAGCAGTGCGTATGACCATCAGCAGTATGATGGAGAAGAAAGCCAGGACGAAGATAGCTGTTCTGAGCACAGCTCTAGTACCTCTACATCCACAAACCAGAAAGAAGGAAAATACTGTGACTGTTGTTACTGTGAGTTCTTCGGGCATGGCGGTGTAAGTTCCTTTTTTGTATTTCATACCTAATGATTTTTCTGTTATCTTATTCATAAAGAATCCACATAGGCATATTTTGATATTTCTTCATAGGATAAAATTATTTCTTAGTATTCTAAAACTGATTTTTAAAAACATTTTACATTGTATTTTAATTATGAAATATGTAGGTTTTATTGCTAATAAGCCTCTGATACTTTAAGTATCAGATTTTGTTATATCACACTTTATTTGCAGGCAGTTCAAAAGGTATTATCTGGATTTCACATCCGTAACTTTGAAACTTAGAAGTTCTATCTAATGTTTTCGTTAAATTTTCTTAGCCACCAGCTGCACCAACAAGTAGAAATTATGCAGAAATGAGAGAGAAGCTCCGTTTACGCTTAACCAAGAGGAAAGAAGAACAGCCAAAAAAAACTGATCAGATCTCTGAAAGGGAGAGTGTTGTTGACCATCGAAAGGTAGAAGACTTGTTACAGTTTATAAACAGTTCGGAGACCAAACCAGTAAGCAGTACTCGGGCTGCCAAACGAGCAAGACATAAGCAAAGAAAGGTAAAAAACAACAAAAAAAGCTACTTCATTTTTTTGCAACAATCCCAAATTTCTTTCTCTAAAGGCATTTTACATGCTAGGAAAAGTGGCATATAAAAAACTTGATAATTTAGCAGTAACGTGGTATTTCTTAAGAAAATACCCTTTATTCAATAGGATTTTAAAATGCAAGTTGATTACAATTGTACATTTCAGTTTTATAGAAAACCTGTTGAATATTCACTTGCTACTGCTCACTTGAAGTATGGTTCACTTGCATTGTTGGAGGAGAGTATTTGTGGGTTTAAAAAACAACATACCCCGCCTGCTGAGGGGAGCCCCGGGTAGTAATGTCTTTGGCCCTCTCCTGAGAGAGAGTGAGAGAGAGCCCTAAAGAGAAAAAGGATGACACCAGGAGGTAGATGGCTTTTCATAGGCCCATAGTGGGGCTTCTTCTTCCTCCTGGCCACTTGGTTGCTCGTTTCTTCTCCTCCTGGAGCAGGTAGGTGGCTCAGTGGATAGAGCGCCAGACCTGGAGTCAGGAGGACCTGAGTTCAAATCCAGTCTTAGACACGTAACACTTAATAGCTGTGTGACCCTGGGCAAGTCACTTAACCCCAATTTCCTCACCAAAAACAAACAAACAAAAGTATATATATACATTTGAACTTGAAATCATACTTCTTTTTAGTCAAGAAAAGATAAACCTGTACTTTCATGTACGGGCATATCTTTATAAATGTAGTTTTCAGTATGCTTGGTTACTTCTCCAAGGGTCTAAATGAATAAAAAGAAATGTTTTGGTTAGCAGGAGAAAGCCCTTTGCTGCAGGAAGAGGCAAAGAAATACAAAGATGTAGAAGCAGTAGACAGGAAGAAGGACTAAAGAATGAAAAGGGCAGTTGTTTGGAAACCAGAATCTTTTTTGTCCAAGTAATCATTGTTCAAGGAGTGTGAGAGATGTAAACTTTTTTAATAGGTCACAGCTGTTCTCCCCATCTGTCTACTCTGTCTGGTATACTACCATTACTGTTGTTTTTTATTTATGGGGTGACAGCAATGCTGAGCAGCCAGATAGGAGAAGGACTTGATCTGAAACATTCGCCAGAGGGTATAATAGGGTCAGGCCCAATGACTTCTCAGAACTACAGACCAGAAGCTTTAAGTACTAGGAGTGAAACATCAGAACACTTTCTAATGGAGCAAGTAAGAGTTTCCCAGTTGTATTCTCCAACTATGGGTTTCTGCTGTGGATACTATCAACTATTGTACACCACTGTCACTTTACCAGTAAAGAGCTAGGAGGAATTTGTGACTAGATTTCATTAGATAATCCCTTTTAATGCTAAGATTTTAGCACTCTGGTAAATTCTTATGGTTCTGTTGTCAGTTGGTTTGAAGACCTATATAGACCTAATTTCTATCTTTAGAACTCTTAGATAAGTCTGGTCCCAGAAATTAGTCGACTTTTAAAAATCTGTACCTTCTCCATTAATAAAACTTTTAATGACTTTTATTTCCTAGACAGATGGAATTTTTTTTTTTATTTAGAGTTTCTGGAATTTGTGTCCCTTTTTCAAGCAGGAAATAAAAATTAATTCCCTACCTTGCTAGGTAGCAGGAATGTTCAGAGATCATTTTTCCATTAATGCTGACTTTTTAAAAGCACTATTTTACTATATAAAGGCTTTCTATATGTCTTCCCTGAGATGAAAGGAAGTATTTTTGAGTCGTAATTCATTATTTTATCCTTATTTCTTCTGTGTCATACTTAACAATATATTCATGCATCAGCATCTAAATTTCATCTGCCCCAGAAAACTGTGTTTACTGAATGATATTACATATACAATTGAGTACCATTTGAATACCACACAATAAGTCTTTAGTATTCAAGTTACAGAAACAGATAGTTGACGCTTGGGGTTTTTTTTTTGTGCCCATACAGAGCACAGTGCAAGATAATACAAGTGAAAAATGTGCTGTAATTTCACAGACATCATATGTAAACAGCAAACTTTACCTTGTTTTGTGTGCTTAACATTAGCAAAAACACAGTAAGGATTCTTGTTCAACTCAGAAGCCTTGTAATTCTACATATGTTCCTTATTTTACTCCTTATTCAATAGTATGAAGTAATTTTGGGTGGCTATATTTTAGACATTTGGCCCTATATAACTTTTTAATATGTTAATGTTCTTTAATATGAATAATTTTCCTAAACATATGCTCATAACATATCATCCTAACTTTTCCTGTTTGTCTTAATTTAGAGTACTTATTGTCAACTTTTAAATCACTGTTTTTATAGCTAGAAGAGAAAGCTCGTCTTGAAGCAGAAGCCAGGGAGAGAGAACATCACCAGCTCCTTGAGGAACAAAGGCGGCGGGAGGAAGAAGAAGAAGAAAGACTCAAAGAGGAATTCCAGAGGCTTCAAGAGCTCCAACAGCTACGAGCTATAAAGAAAAAGAAAAAAGATAGAACAAATAAAGACTGTTCAAAGTTGGACATGCTTGCTAGGAATTTCCAGTCAGCAAAAGAATCAGTACCGAGTTCTGAAGAGATACGGAATGGCACACTTGAGCAGTCTGAGAAAACAGAAACATCCTCGAGTTCACCTTCCAGGCATGTTAATCATTTGGAACAGAGGCCAGGGCCTGAAACAGTCTGTGGACTGTCTAATCCAGGCAACTCAAGAGACTCCAAACTCCTTTTCCAAAAAGAGCTGGGTGTGAAGCAGCATGAACCGCTTTCTTTCCTCTTTGACATAATGCACCACCACAAGGAAGGGAACAGTAAATCAAAGCTCAAGCCTGTCAGTAAGCTGGCCGAATCTCCCAAAGTGCCCGAGAGCCAGCCTAGGCCCAGGAACCACACGGAACCCAAAGTAAAGGCAATAGAACTCTCTTCTTCTGCTGAGCAGAGAAGAGAAGAGAAAAAAGTCAACAGTAACAACAACAACAGAAAGCAACTGAATCATGTCAAAGAAGACAAGTCTCTGCCAATCCTGATTGAATCCCCTTCTCCAAATGAGCAACCCCCAAACAACAAATTGGTATTGGCAGATTCTCCACAGCCGAAGGGCAAGAGCAAGAAAAATAAGAAGAAAAAAGGAGATAAAGTCAACAATTCACTTGGTAAATATAGCTCAGAGAAAGTTATGTTAAGCTTGGTTAAGTGTGTGAGTTATCAGAAGATGATGTAATATCTAGAGTCTTTAGTGAGGAACCTACGCTAGAAAGACAGTGTGTTGGTCAGTACTTAGCACAGTGCCAGGCACATAGTAGGTACTTAATAAATGTTGATTGATTGATTGATTGATATCTGAGAGGCAGTATAATAGCCTTGGAAGGAGCCCTGAATTTGTAGTCAGAATGTAGATTTGAGTCCTGGTTTTACCATTTCCTTTTTTTCTGTGATGTTGAGCAAGCCATTGTGGAATTCAACATGGTCATCTATAAAGTAAGTGAGGGAAAAGGACTAGATATGCTGTCTAGGAACCCTCCCAGCTCAAAATCTATGATCCTATGAAAATCTCAAGGCAGATTTTGCCATTGCACATACTGTATCTTGCTCTTGCTTTGCATTTTGTAGGGACTTTTCACCTGAATGGATCAGGAGAATGAGGCCAATGAAAAGCTTGGTACTAAACATTTTTACTCATTCATAATACAGATAGTATGTCTGGTTTCAGGAAGAGCCACTGCTGTGATTAAAGTATCTTTTCAAATCATCTCATTTAGATAGTAAGCTTTAGTTTTCCCTTACACTTAGATTCCAGTCCCATCTTAATTGAATGTATCATAATCCACATATAATAATGCATTTCTATAGTGCTTTAAAATTAACCAGCCAGGTTGCAGCTGGGTGGCGCAGTGGATAGAGCTCCAGCCTTTGAGTCAGGAGGACCTGAGTTCAAATGTGGCCTCAGACACTTGGCACTTACTAGCTGTGTGACCCTGGGCAAGTCATTGCCTAGCCAAAAACCAAAACAAATAAATTTGACTACCTGCTTTCCTCGTGACATCCCTGTGTTAGGTAAGTAGTGCAAGCATTGTTATGCCCATTTTATAGATGAGGAAACTGAGGCCTATAGAGATGAAGTGACTTGTCTTTGGATGCAGAGGGATAGTATAATAAGGGTCAGACCTAAAATTCAGACCCAGGTCTCAGTTCCCAAGTTCTGCACCCCATACCACCTGTGTAATAGCACTGTTGCTAAATGTTCAAGAACTGAGACAAATTCCTCAAGATAAAATGACAGGAGGATGTTAGCAAATGTGAATAAAGTTAGTCAAGTTGATTTGTCTATAAGAGGCTGACAAGGAATAAGATCAGTTTCAATTAAAGAGAATTAAAAATGAACAGTACTTCCCCATTCTAGTTTATACAGTCTTAACTTTTGATTAGCGTTATTCAAACTGTATTTTAAAATGCTTTGTTGAGCGAAGTAATCTTTGAAGTAAATAGTAGACATCAGCAGCATGATTCAGGAAGAAAAGAACTAATAAGTCAAAGTTTCAGAGTGATTTGAAATCATCAAATGAATGATTTTTTGATGCAGAAGGAAAGATTATTTTAAAGTTGCTTAGTTTCCATTTGTCACGCAAATAGTATTTGTAGGCATGAGGAAAGACTCTTAAGCACTAAAGATTCTGTGATCACATAATACAATGAGAATTCACTTGGATTTTAAGTTTCCTTGTTTAACTCTAAGTCTCTCTCATTACCCTTTGTGATGTTCTGTGTCCTGCCATCATAGGGTATCTCTTATTTCATGGCATCCATCTTTGTGCACCAGTATATAGATAATACATTGTCAGAGTTGCAAAGGCTCTTAGAGTTTATTAAGTCTAACCCACTTGTTTTATGAGAAGAGGAAACTGAGGCTGAGAGTAGATAGTCTAAGGTCACACATAAGAACAGGTCCAATCTAGTTAGGGGCTAAGAACCTGAAAGGTGGAGTAGCTTTGTTTGGCTGTGTGAACAAGAGCCCTGAACTTGGAAACAAGCTTTTGGAGTCAAGTTCTAGTGCTCTAACTGGTTGTTAAGACCTTAGGCAATCACATCCTGTTTCTGGGTCTCTCATATACCATGAGGGAGCTGAACCAGGTTATCTCTGACACCCTTCTAGTTCTTTTATTCTGTGACATAATACGGATTCTGACCAGTTGGTGCTTTTTTTACTCTGCTGAACTACTTTGCTCTGATTGACTCAACAGATAAAACTCTTCTTGATTTGGTAATTGTCACTTTGCCTAGGCAGTTAATCCAGTGAGAAGTAGCACTAAAAACAACTAATTTTTGAGACCTCTTACCATACGTTACGACATCCTCTTCACATTTCACTAATACTTTGAAGCATGGAGGTTTCTGAGATTGCATGACAAAAGAAGGGTACGGGATGGTAAGTTTGTGGCCTAAAGGATGAAATAAGCTAAGACCTAAGCCAAACAAATAGAAATATATATTCTACCACTTTCGGGTTTTTTCTGTCTCCTATAAAGATACTAATTAAATAGGTGAATAGTAAACTTACTCATCTGTGGCAACAGAAATAAAAGAGGTTAAACCACCTGCAGCTATTTGGAAGAAAAGCAAACAGACTAAGAAATATGACATGTTTTTCTAATTAATGCTTGACAACAAAAAGTATAAAAATTACAGATATCTGGAACACCTAAGAAAAATCAAGAAAGATTAAGTATAGAATCTTAGGAATTAGATAAAATGTACAATAATTACATTGATTCTAGCACAGAGGCAAAGTCATTTTGCTTAGAACATGAAAAGTCTTATATGTATATGTTCATAAGATGTACGTGTTTGGAAGAGTTGTTTATTGGGTTTGTTGTTGTTGTTTTTAAGAGATGTGAGGGCTGAGGAAATGGGAATATTCAGGGAAAACTTTGTTCCACTTTGTGATAGGTGAATGGATAGGTGCCTTTGATGGGAGAGGCATGATCTAGTGCAGGGTGGGGAACCTGCGGCCTCGAGGCCACATGTGTCCCTCCAAGGTCCTCAAGTGCGTCCCTTTAACTGAACCCAAACTTCAGAGTGCCGCACTTGAGGACCTTGGAAGGACACATGTGGCCTCGAGGCTACAGGTTCTCTACTCCTGAATGGAAAGAATGCAATATCTAGACTATTCAAAGCCCAGCCACAAAACCTACAGCTGTGTGACCTTGGGCAAGTTATTTTCTTCCTCTGTGTGTATTTCCTAATCTATAAAGTGGTGATACTGCATTGCCCACCTCACAGGGTTGTTGTGAAGAAAATGTTTTGTAAACCTTGAAATACTGTGTAAATATAAGTTAGTGGAAAAAAAATTTTGCCACTATCTCTGAAAATTGAAACATTTAAATTTGTCAGCTTAAACTGTAAGCGCTTTGAGAATCTGCCCAGAGACTGTCAATTCTGTGCATTGTATAAAAAATCCTTAGTAGAGCACAGCTTTATGCTTTATATAGCATAAGCTCTTAGGAATTAAATATTGATGGTGTGGTTCTTGTCAGAAATTTACTAGCATTTTAGATTTTTAGATGCTTCTCTTGTTTTCTGCTCCTTTTTTTCTCCTGAGGAAATTTCGTTCTTAATACTCATGATCTCTAGATTTATCCCAGGACTGAATTTTTTAAGTTTACCCATGGCAAACCAGGTAATTTAAACCCAGAGCTGCTCACACTCAGGTCTGGCTGGTTTCATATCCAGCACTCAGTTCACACCAGCATGTTACAGTAACATCCTAAGATGTTATTATTCTGCATTTAGTCAGTTGTTAACAGAATCCTGAGGAAAGAACGAGATCAAAATGGTGTGCCCATGCTATTTTGGTCATTTGAGTTGAATCACCATAAGAGCTACAGCTGTCTTCTGTAACGTGTACCTGCACCCACAGATGCCACACAGCACTCTGCCCCACCTAAAATTTTATGTTTAAAATGACATGAGTGCTATAAATTCTCTGTGTGATGAAAATTGGCTGATTTCATCATTCCCCTAATTGAATCTTTGCCTCCTTTAGTATCCATAGTTCTGTGTATGCAATAAGCACTTTATAAGTGCTTTTTGATTCATTCACTATTTTCCAGTCAGACTGGACTGCTTGTTTTTCTGTAATCTTGTCTTGCCTTTTCTGTCCCTCTGCTTTCATGCAGGCCATCAGAGTCTGTGCCTAGAATGTATTCCATGTTTGAAACACATTCCCTCTCTTTTCTCTTTAGTGATGTCTTTTTCTTCTTTTCAGTCCTATCTCAGATGCTACCTTCTTCTTGAAATTTTCTCTGATTCTTGCATCACCTCCCACTGCTTTCCATACTTCTCCCCACCCAGTTCAAAGTGATGTCTTTTTTTGTATCTACTACATTTTACCTTGCATTATAATGTTCTGTTTAAATTCCTTGAAGGAACTTTGTATATAACTTATCTTTACATACTGGTTGGCTCCTCCATTGGAATGCAAGCCCTTTGCAAGTTAGGCCTCCTTTTACTTTCTCTTTATATTCCTAGTACTAGGTACGGTACCTGATACCCAATAAATGCTTTATAAATTCTTGTCGATTGATTGAAGGCAGCAGTCATGTCATTTTTCATTCCCAAAGCTGAATATTGTACCGTAATGGCCTGCAGCTGACAGTGTGTTTCTTACACATTCAACCCAGTACCAAAGTCTAACTTGGGCAGTGCTAACTACTAAGTACTAGGAACTCAAATTTACTACTTTTAAGGTTTAAAAAACACTTTTCTCACCACTACCCTTTGAGATAGATAATGCAGTTATGATCATCTTCATTTTACAAATGAGGAAACTGATGCTCCAGTAGGGGAAATAGTCCAGGGTCACACAACTAAAACCAAGATTTGAGTTTGGGTCTTTAGACTCCAAGGTAGAGCAGTCTCCATTTTGATTTAACTAATCTTTTGCACTTATCCTATTATCATTATGATTTTTCATTTTCCCTTCAATAGGTGGGGTTCTCATATTCTCTGCAAGAATCTTGATTTATTTTATTGCTATATAACATCAGCTAGATAGTAATTTGTCTTTAAGATATATTATTCAGTGGACTATAGTATAAAATAAAACTTAAAGAAAATAGAATTATTTTTATTTTTGAGCTATTTTCTAAGTATTTAC